GAGGGAAGGAGGGGAGGAATGGAAGGAGGGAGTGAATGGAAGGAGGGAAGGAGGGAGGGGAGGTGCGCGCGTGTCGCTCGTGTCGCTGCGCCGGGGAGCGTGGGGAGGGGGTGTGCGAGGGGGGTTTGGGGTGTCCCTGTGGGGTTTGGGGTGTGCGAGGGGGGTTTGGGGTGTCCGAGCGTGGTTTGGGGTGTTTGTCTGGGGTTTGGGGTGTTCCTGTGAGGTTTGGGATGTTCCTGTGGGGTTTGGGATGTTCCTGTGGGGTTTGGGGTGTCCCTGTGGGGTTTGGGGTGTCCCTGTGAGGTTTGGGGTGTCCCTGTGAGGTTTGGGGTATCCCTGTGAGATTTGGGGTGTCCCCGTGGGGTCTGGACCGTAACAAAACGGGGTGAAAAGAGCGGATTTTTACGGACGCGAATCCCGCGGGAACCCGGGCTGGGACGACATTCCCGGATTTTCTCCCGAATCCACCCAAACCCTTCCGGAGGGTCCCCGGAGCGGGAGGGGCCCCTCGGAGCTGCCCCCGCTCCCAGGAATTCCAGCAGGAGGAGGAGGAGGAGGAGGAGGAGGGAAATGAGAGCTCAGGGAGGAGCCGGGAATTTGCTGACGGCGGGATTGGGAAAAGCCGGGATTGGGAAAATCCGCTGCGTCCGCACTCAGGAGCCGGGGATGGGGCTGGGGGGGGGCTGGGGGACCCCAAAATCTGGGAAGAGTGGGAGGGGAAGGAGCCACGGCCTGGAGAGCTCAGCTCCAGCTGTTATCCCGGAGTTTGCATCATTATCCCGGACTTTGGATCATTATCCCGGAGTTTGCATCATTATCCCGGAGTTTGGGTCATTATCCCGGAGTTTGGGTCAGTATCCCGGAGTTTGGATCATTATCCTGGAGTTTGGATCATTATCCCGGAGTTTGGGTCAGTATCCTGGAGTTTGGATGATTATCCCAGAGTTTGGATGATTATCCTGGAGTTTGGATGGTTATCCCAGAGTTTGGATCACTATCCCGGAGTTTGGATCATTATCCCAGAGTTTGGATCATTATCCCCGAGTTCGGATGATTATCCCGGAGTTCGGATCAGTATCCCAGTGCTGGATCCCAAATCCCAACCTCAGATCCCAAATCCCGACCTCAGATCCCAAATCCTGACATCGGATCCCAAATCCTGACATCGGATCCCAAATCCTGACGTCGGATCCCAAATCCCACCATTGGATCCCAAACCCCAACACTGGATCCATAACCCCAACACTGGATCCCAAATCCTGACATCAGATCCCGAATCCCATCATCGGATCCCAAATCCCAACTCTGGGAAGCGTCGAGCGCGTCCCTGTGCTGACCCCAGACCACGAGGCCCCAACCCCTCCCCAATCCCAAAAATCCCAGTTCCAATCCCAAAATCCCGGTTCCAATCCAAAAATCCCGGTTCCAATCCCAAAAATCCCGGTTCCAATCCCAAAAATCCCAGTTCCAATCCCAAAAATCCCGGTTCCAATCCCAAAAATCCCGGTTCCAATCCCAAAATCCCGGTTCCAATCCCAAAATCCCGGTTCCAATCCCAAAAATCCCGGTTCCAATCCCAAAAATCCCGGTTCCAATCCCAAAAATCCCGGTTCCAATCCCAAAAATCCCGGTTCCAATCCCAAAAATCCCGGTTCCAATCCCAAAATCCCGGTTCCAATCCCAAAATCCCGGTTCCAATCCCAAAAATCCCGGTTCCAATCCCAAAAATCCCGGTTCCAATCCCAAAAATCCCGGTTCCAATCCCAAAAATCCCGGATCCAATCCCAAAATCCCGGTTCCAATCCTGGGACAGCCGGGGGGACGCGGCTCCCGAAGCGGCAGCTCCGGAATTCCGGGGTTGGCGTCCGGAATTCCGGGGTTGGCAGCGGCTGCCGCTTTTCTCCCGCCCGGAGCGGGGATCTCCGGTGGGCCATGAAATCCCAATCTGTGCCGGGAATTATCGGGAAATTCATCCGGAGCCTCGCGGCTGCCGGCAGCGACCAGAGCCGGCTTTCCTCCTTCCCGGCCTAAATCCTGCTGCTCTGTGGCCTCGGAATCCCCGGAATCTTGGAATGCTGGGAACCCAGAATTCCAGAATCCAAAGATCTCAGAACCCCAAAATCCCAGAATTCCAGAGCCCCAGAATTCCAGAATCCAACAAACCCAGAATCCCAGAATTCCAGAATCCAAAGATCTCAGAACCCCAAAATCCCAGAATTCCAGAGCCCCAGAATTCCAGAATCCAACAAACCCAGAATCCAAAAATCCTGGAATTCCAGAATCCAAAGATCCCAGGACCCCAAAATTCCAGAATCCAAAGTTCCCAGAATTCCAGGAGCCCAGAATCCCAGGACTCCAGAATCCCAGAATTCCAGGATTTCTGAGCTTGGAAAATCCCTCCACGTTCCAAGCCCGGCTCACCCAGGAATTCCAGGAATTCCTCGGCCACCTCCAGACCCTCCCTTGGGAAGGAGATTCCTCCCGGGATTCCTGACCCGGGAGAGAAAACTCGGGAATCCGTGGCGCCAAAAAAAAATTTGGGGAGGGGGACAAAACCCCCGGGAGCAGCTCCGAGGGCGGGAATCCCGCTCCGGAATCATTCCAAGGCTTTTCCGAGGATCCCGGGGGAGTTGTTTTCCCTTTGGAATGTTTATTCCAGCCCCTCCTGGCGCTAATTCCCGGAATCTCCTTGTTTTTGTCTGGGATTTGTCAGAGGTGACATCTGTCGCCAGGGATTTCAGCCTCCTTAGAGCCCACGGAATAATTAATTGGGAGGGGGTTAATTAATGAATTGGAGGTAATGAATTAAGGGGGATTAATTAATCCCTGGATTGATAATTAATTATTAACCCGAATGTTGCTGGCGGGTGGAGGGAGCCATCCCAGCCTGGGAAAAATCGGGATTTTCCACTTTTTTATCCGACGGATCCCTGGGTTTACTCTTTTCCCGTTTGATCCCGATCCTTTTCCCATCCTGATCCTTTTCCCATCCCGATCCATTTCCCATCCTGATCCTTTTCCCATCCCGACTCTTTTCCTGTCTGATCCTGATCCTTTTCCCATCCTGACCCTTTTCCTGTCTGATCCCGACCCTTTTCCTGTCTGATCCTGATCTTTTTCCCATTTCATCCCGGCCTTTTTCCCATCTCATCCCGATCCTTTTTCCATCCCAGCCTTTTTCCCATCCCGACCCTTTTCCCGTTTTATCCTGACCCTCTTCCCATCCCGACCCTTTTCCCGTTTTATCCCGACCCTTTTCCCATCTCATCCCGATCCTTTTTCCCATCCCGACCCTTTTCCCGTTTTATCCCGACCCTTTTCCCATCGGAACCCGCCCTTTCCCGGCTCCAGGATTTCATTTGGGGCTGGGGGAGCCTCGGGGACCCCAGGGCGCTTCCCGGTCCCTCCTTTCCCGCAGGGATTTGGGATCCCGGGATGGGGTTCAGGGATCCCGGGATGGGGTTCAGGCATCCCGGGATGGGGTTCAGGCATCCCGGGATGGGGTTCAGGCATCCCGGGATGGGGTTCAGGGATCCCGGGATGGGTTTGGGCGCTTCCCGGTTCCCCTTTCCCGCAGGGATTTGGGATCCCGGGATGGGGTTTGGGATCCCGGGATGGGTTCGGGCGCTTCCCGGTTCCCCCTTTCCCGCAGGGATTTGGGATCCCGGGATGGGGTTCAGGGATCCCGGGATGGGGTTCAGGGATCCCGGGATGGGGTTCAGGGATCCCGGGATGGGGTTCGGGGACCCCCCCCGGCCGCTCGCGGTCTCCTGCTGCCACCTCCCGGTCTCTCGCTTTGAATTCCTTGGATTTTCCCTCCCTGGCGGCTCGGGAATGCGGGATGGGGGAGATGAGAGGGGAAAATCCCATAAAAATCGCCCGTCTGGGAAGTCGGGGAGGTTTTGGGGTGGGAACGGGAATTTTTGGGGGCTGGAATGACGAGGATTTTGGTGCTGGAACGGGAATTTTTGGGGCTGGAACGAGGGGGATTTTTGGGAGCTGGAACTGGAATTTTGGTATTGGAATGAGGGGGATTTGGGGCTGGAACTGGAATTTTTTGAGGCTGGAAAGAGGAGGATTTTGGGGTTGGAGCGGGAATTTTGGGGCTGAAATGAGGGGGATTTTGGGGCTGGAACGGGAATTTTGGAGCTGCAACGGGAATTTTGGGGACTGAAAGAGGAATTTTGGAGCTGGAACGGGAATTTTGGAGCCGGAAAACCCATTTTTGGCGCTCGCCTATCCCCTAAAACCCCCATCCTTCTGCTGGAGTCTCCGAGCTGAGGACCCCAGAACCCGCCAGCCACAAAAATGAAAACAAAACCCCCCCAAAAAAATAAAACCCCACCCCAAATTCACCCCCTCCAAATTTGGGGGGCCGAGAGCGGCGCGTCCCTGTCCCCTCCGCCAGAGGGGTGGCCTGGGGGGTGACGCCGACCAGGAGGAGGAGGAGGAGGAGGAGGAGGAAGGAGGGGAGGAAGTCCCCGGCGGGCACTCGCCAGCCCCGAGGGGTCCCCGCACCTTCCGCGGCTGCTGCGGGGGGGTCCCCGCGCGATGTCCCCACCCGGGGGTCGCCGCTGTCCCCCCGCTCTGCTGGCCCTGCTGCTGGCCCTGGCCCCCAGCCCAGGTGAGGAGGGGTCGCTCTGGGATGGACGGGAAGGATTGCGGGAATTCCAGGGAAATTCAGGAGTTTTGAGGGGTGAAGGAAGGGGTCGAGCGCGGATTTTTTTGGGGGGGGGGATTTTCCGCCGTTCTCTCACCTCGCTCTTGCCCCGGGGAAGGTCGAACCCGGCCGGGCCCTGACGCGGGGCCGGTTCCCCTTCCCGGCTGTGGAACTGGGCTGAAAGTCGCGACTTCCCTGTCCCGACACTTCCCGAAACCCCACAGCTGTGACCTTTCCCCGCTTTCCCAACTCAAATCCCTCTGCTGAACCGCTTTTCCCAGGATTTTGGGGAAAATTCCCAGGATTTGGTGGTCGTGGGTATTTTTTTTTTCCCCCTAAAAAACAGCGATTTTGGGGGCGTGGGGAACGGGAACAGCGGGATTCGGGAGATGGACGGGACCTGGAGCATCTCCCAAAATATTTCCCGGCCGCACCTTGCCGGGGGTTCGGCGTCGGGTTTATTTTTTTCCCTGAAAACTCCGGGATTTGCAGAATCCCGGGATTTTTGAGGTTGGCCGACCCCCACCTGGTCACCCAGAATTCCAGGAATTCCTCGGACACCTCCAGGGATGGGGATCCAACCCTCCCTGAGCCCTCTCCGAGACCTTTTTTCCCTTTTCCAAGAGGAATTTTCCCAAATTTCCCACCCTGAGCCTCCCCCGGCCCAGCTCGAGGCCGTTCCCTCTTGTCCCGGCCCCGTTCCCTGAGCTCAGATCCCAAATCCCCGCCGGAAAATCCCAAAATTCCCCCTGGATCCCCCTTTTCTCCGGGCTGAGCTCCCCCCCAACACCTCCCAGGCAGCAGGAAAAGAAAATTCCCGCGTCCTGCAGGGAATTTTGGGTGGGAAAAGCCAAATAATCCCCTCTCCCACTCCTCCAGGGAAGGATTTCCCACTTTTCCCTGCTCCAGCCTCTGGAATTCCCGAATTTCCCGAGCCTCGGGGTGTCCCCACACCAAGACAAACCTCGGGAGCCGCAGCCGGTGGAAATTTTGGAGTTCCCAGAGCGAACCCGGCGGCTCTGGATGTGCCCCAGGGAGGAATTTCCTGCTGGAAAACCCCCCCGGGATGGGTGGGATTTGGGATTTTGGGGGGACTGAGCTGTTGAGGGGCCCCCCGGAGCTGCCCTGACCACACGGAGCCGCAGGAAGCGGCCTCGGCCCTCCGGATGTTCCGTGGGTTTTTATTTTGGGGGCCTTCGACATCCGGGGGCCGCTCCCGAGAAGAGAAACTCGGAGTTGAGAGAGAAAAGAAGGGGGCAGGGGGTGAAATTCCCTGGGATCGGGAGCTGGAGCGGTCTGGGATGGCGTGGAACCCCTGGAATGGGGAACGGGGGCTTGGACAGGCGGGGAAAATGGGAAAGGAGCGGAAATTTGGGGATGGAGATTGGGGAACAGGCACAGAACCAGTTTGGGATATTGGGGAGAGGGTGGAAATTTTGGGATGGGGATGGAGATCCAGCCCAGGCTGGTGTGGAGAGAGTGGAACCTCTGGAGTTGGGAATTGGTGCTTGGACAGTCAGGGAAAATGGGAAAGGAGCGGAAATTTTGGGATGGAGATTGGGGAACAGGCACAGAACCAGTTTGGGATATGGGGGAGAGGGTGGAATTTTTGGGATGGGGATGGAGAACCAGCCCAGGCTGGTGTGGAATTTTTGGGATGGGGATGGAGAACCAGCCCAGGCTGGTGTGGGATTTTTGGGATGGGGATGGAGAACCAGCCCAGGCTGGTGTGGAATTTTTGGGATGGGGAACAGGCACAGAACCAGTTTGGGAAAATGGGAAAGGAATGGAATTTTTGGGATGGAGATGGAGACCCAGCCCAGCCTCGGTGGCCCCAGCAGCTCCCGTGTCCCCTCCGCAGCCTCTCCTGGGCTCAGCCCCCGCCGGAACTCCCCGGGATCCATCCCAGGATCCCCGGAATGCCGGGATCGAGCGGTGCCCGCCGGGGGATCGCTGTGCCTGGAGCTGGAGGAGCCCCCGTGGGAGTGGACAGAGCTCCAGTGGAGGGTGAAGATGGATTCGGGAGGGCGGGAGCGGATCCTGACGGCCTACAGGAACGGCCACGTCACGTATCCCAATGGATCCTTCCACGGCAGGGCGGAATTCCAGCTGGGAATTCTCTCCCTGTGCGTGTCCCCCGCGGCCGGAGGGGACAGCGGGACCTTCCTGGCCGAGTTCTGGAATTCCTCCAGGATCTTCAGGCGGTGCTTCCGGGTGGCCGTGTTGGGTGAGCGGCGGGTTCCGTCTGTCCCCCTGTCCCCGTGTCCGTCTGTCCCCGTGTCCGTCTGTCCCCCTGTCCCCATATCCACCTGTCCCTGTCGCCCTGTCCCCGTGTCCGTCTGTCCCTCTGTCCCCGTGTCCATCTGTCCATCCATCTGTCCCCGTGTCCATCTGTCCATCTGTCCCCGTGTCCCTCTGTCCCCGTGTCCATCTGTCCGCGTGTCCCTCTGTCCCCGTGTCCCTCTGTCCCCGTGTCCATCTGTCCATCTGTCCCCGTGTCCCTCTGTCCCCGTGCCCATCTGTCCCCGTGTCCCTGTGTCCCCGTGTCCCC